CTGCCCTCCTCAGGCCCAGCCATCTGACCGCATACCATCCCCGTGAGGGTGGCAGGGCTGGGTTGCCACTCCAGTGACGGTTGGCTCAGAGAAAGTCAGGGACTTGGCAGATATATCCCAGTGAGTCGGAGGCAGAGCTGGGGCCTGTGAGCCAGATTCGCCTGACCATCCCCTGCCATCCCAAGCCAGAGTGAGGGACTAGCTCAAAGCCAGGAGGAGCTGCGGATGGAGGGAAGAAGAGGGGATGCCAGGCCTCTGGTCCCTGGGAGATACTCCACTCCTGAGGCCCTCAAGCCAGGGGAAACCCATCCCAGCCCTGACCTTGGGAGCCTGGAGCCCTTTGGCCTCTCTACTGCTTTCTTTGGGCAGCAGCGCCCTCGTGTGGCTGCAGCTGGTAACTACATGAAGTTCCAGGTTTCCTCGCCCACAACGCTTCCCCTCTCCGGGGCCTCACCTTTCTGCAACCCACCCCCTCGACAGAAGACAGCTATTCCTGGGGCTAACCAAAGGTGGCGTGAACAAGAAGCCATGGATAGAGCCCTGGGCTTGAGGTCAGGAAGCTTCAGATAAAATCCTTATTTGGTTATTGACCGATTCGTCGTAGGGCTGGCGTCTCAAACTCCTCATCCGTTTAATGGGCTGATAATGTCTCCCCAAACTTACCCTCCAAGGCTTTCATGAGGATTGAGGAATCACAAATCTGAATAGACTCTGTGAACCGTAAAGCGTAAAGCGCTGCGACCAGGTGAAAAGATCACTATCTACACTGTGTTGGGAGAGACCAAGGTCGCTGATGGCTGGCTGGTGGCAGCCTGGGGACGTCACATCCTTGCGCAGAAATTGGGAGGCGGCCAATGAGGAGGTGAATGTTGAGCCCAGGATTGAAACTCGGGCCTGCAGAGGAAGGGGTCTGCCCCGGGCCCACCCCCTTCACGATGCACCAAAGGAAGTACCCTCGGGCCCTGCATCAGATCCCAGACCTGTCCAAACCCATTCCTTGCAGGACCCGTGTGAGGAACGTAAGAACCATCTCTGGTGCAGACAGAGCTGGTTCACAGCCAATGGCTTTATCATGTAAACTTCTTCACGGGGCGGACAAGGGCGGTTGGCGTCACCCGAACCTGTGCGCAGACGCCGGAGGAGTGGGGTCAAAGGCAAAAAGGTGACAGATACCGTTCGTTACACCAACGTGCTGGGCATGATGCCAAACGACATCGTTTCACTCCGTCCTCCCAATCAACCTTTGACGTCGCTTCTGCTTGTTCCCTCCTTTCGCGCGGAAGGACCCGGGGCCTCAAGAGAGGACACCGGTGACCCACACGCAGTTGGGATGAACCCCCCGTGTTTGTCTGACTTTCTGGAAGCCCCCTCCCCCCGCCCCCCAGGCCTCAGAGACACAGGCTTGGACAAGAGGTGCTGGGGAGGAGAGCCAGTCATGCTTCCAACCGAGTCCTTGGCTTTGCCACCACGAAGAAACACCGAGGCAAGACGTCTCGCTAAATGCTAAGAGGAAAAGCGGGAGGAAAACCCTGGCCGAGTACAAAGGATACACGATCCAGGTGGAAAGGACGACAACCAGCATTAGGCGAGCGAATGCCCAGACGTGCCAGGCACCAGACGCAGGGTCATCGGCGGTTCCAGGTCACACACCTCCAGGTGTTCCTCCAATCTGTTTTTTATAATAAGAGCTTTTTTACTATTTTTTAATTTTTTCAAGTTATTTGAGACAGCGACAAACAGCAGGAGAGCGCGCACAAACGGGGGAGGGGCAGAAAAGAGAGAGAGAGAGGATCCCAGGCAGGCTCGGCACCGTCAGCACAGAGCCCGGTGCGGGGTTCAAACTCACCTGAGAGGAGAGAAGAGTAGGATGCTCAACAGACTGAGCCACCCAGGCGCCCCTCCTCCCATCTTCTAGAAGAGGAAACGGGGCCGGGGCGCAGACAGATGATGTTACTCGCCTCAGGTCACAAAGATGGCGGCCAAATGGGAGAAATCCACACCTCCCACCTGGCCGGCTTTGCACACTGCCTCCGCGAGGGTCTAGTGAAACCCGAACCACTGAACAGCCCTGACTTTCCAAGCCGTGAAGGGAGAACCACAAATTCTTCTCACCACCTTCGATGGCCAGGGAGGAATTCGGTGAGAAGCGAAGCGACACCCACAGGCACAGCGGAGGGGACCCAGACTTGAGCCTGGTCTGTCCGACTCCGGAACCGGGACATTCAGAGTCACACACGCAGTGACGGCTGGCAATGCCTCTAGAGCGTGGTCTCTGGTGGGCCGCTGAGGACCATCAGTGGGAGAAGCCCCGGGAAGGACCCGATTTCAGCCGCTGATACACCACCAGGTCCTGGACTAAACCCGCCTTAGCTCAGCTTCCTTTCCCTCCCTTTATTCCCAGGACCGCAGAGCCTGCTAGTGACAGTCCCTTACCTTTGGGAAGGGATCGTGCAGTTTCTTCTGCAACCAGCCCGGGGCTCCACTTGCAGACATGAGGTAGGACAGGCTCCCACCTGGCCCCTGGCTGAGCTACCCTGTAATTGCCAGCACTGGCCAGTCTAAGTGGCAGCAAAGTTGGTGAGAGGAGGGGCATCCTCAGACGCAGGTGGTGGGCACCTCTGTGAGCTACAGCCTCCTGTACTGAAAGCCGGGAGGGGTCCCCGATCTGAGGGGGACAAGCAAGATGAGCAAGCTAGGCCCCTGGGCCAGCCTGGGCCGGCCTCCGAGTGTGAACACAGGCGGGCGGGATGCGGGCAGGAGCCGCCCAGAGAAAAGGGAAGGGGACCTCAGGAGGGGAGGCCAGACAGACTGGACATCGGTCTGAGATGCCTTAGCTGTCGCCCACGTCACAGGATTCGATGCCCCGTCACAGGATTCGTAGCTGGGAGACCTTTGTGATGGACTGGATTCAAATGCAGACCCTAGGTGCACAATGCTGCAAAGGCCAGAGAGAGCAAACAAAGAACACAGTAACTGGGTCAAACCGCAGGGCACAGGCTTCTTGAGGATGTTCCCTGTGACCAACGGCAGACCCCGGGCCCAGGAAACCAGGCACCTGATTTTTCAAGAGAAGCTGTGAATCCGGACTAATGTGTAAAGTCTTAATTTTGAAAGCACTAGGCAGGCTAAACCCAGCATCTTTGGGTCAAGATGGGCTCAAGGGCTATCGGCCCTATCCCAACGCAAACCCCACCCTCCCCTCCGACAAACAGAAACAAAACAAGCAGAACAAAGGACACAAAGAAGGAAAGGGCTGTCCTGGGGCACTAATACTAAGGGGGGAAGGGAGGGTTGTAAAACAGAAACACAGACTCAGATTCCAAAGTTCTGTATTTTTCAAAATAAAGATCACACATTGTTTAGAGACAATCTACACAAGAGTTACAAAAAATAGTTGCCCAGGCATAAGCATACACAGGTTTGTTAATTATACACATATGGTTACAAGTGTGCTTGCAAAAAAGTTCATTGGAAATATACACAAGGCTCTGGAAATGTACACCGTGTAGTGTTACAATTCTATATTCAAACAAGGAAAATTGACAGTATGTTACATTCACTTACAAGTAGACAAAATGCAAAATACAGTTCATCTTCTGTACAAAAAGGAAGGGCAATTCACACTTTACAAGGCGAGAGGGGCTCTGATTGTGAGGAAAGCTAGGGCAGGGCTGAACTTTGCACGTCCTTACGACTGTCACAAAATAAGCAAAACATTACTTTTTTAGGGTTAAAAAAAACACTAGTGTGAACTGAATCATCTTGAGTAACATTTAGAAAGGATCTTGCTACTGTGGGACTAGGTGGCAAATAAAACCAAGCTATTTTTTTCCTTTTTAAACATTTAACTAGGCTGTATAAAGAACATTTATTCCTTCAAAAGAAAAAAAATTTACTTCTGGTTGAAATTACAATTTACAATATACAACACTATATGCTACGACCATAAAAGGTGTGAATATACACTGAATGCACAGGGCTGGCTAATTCTCTTTTCTTCCCAAAAAACGTGTTTATGTTGATTCAAACTTCTCCACATTTACATTACAGGTATACAAATGTACAATTGTACAATCAAAAGTATGTTCGACTACTAGGGTACATTATAGATACAGATTAGACATCAAAACAAGAAAATACTACAAATTTGTATATATGCAAAGTCTACACCAAGTATACACTATATATTTATAGAAGCAAGACCAAAAGCAGAGTTGGATTTTTTTTTTTTTTTCTCATGCTAAATAATCAGATTTTGCCTTTCAATGTTAACAGAAAAAAAAATCCAGTAGGCAGTAAACAAGTTACACCCGCCCGGCCTTGAAAGACATCCTAGGAGCTCACATCTCCTCCTCACAAAACACACTACACATCTTCTTCAGCATAATAGTCTCCAAAAAAGGCAATTTTTTGAAGTTTCATAAACTTAATGTCATTAACTGAAGCTTTAGCAACTCTAAAACAATTTTCATTATATATATATATGTATATATATATATATATATGTTTTATAAACAGTGTTAAATGCCAGTTTGGGGTCATTTAACAAAATTCAAATTTCTCAGGTTTTTTTGTTTGTTTTTGTTTTTTACTAAAATGAGGAGGTGGGGAAGAGCTATTTGCAAAACTTGCCAGCAAGGCAAAATGGATTAAAAACATTTTTTTCTTTTTTTTTTTTTAACTTTTTTTTGTTAAACCAACCACCCTGAAAGTTTCCACACGTGTAATATAGATACAACATTGAACAAAATATGTGGCCTCCCATGTACATTGGTTACCTATGTACAAGTATCCTATACACCAGTAAAACAACAGGGCAATTAGTCAATTAAAAAAAATAATTAGTACATGTTATGCGTAATAAAATTAAACAAATTTACAAAGGCTTTTCCACTTGTGGATTTGATTCCTTTTTTTTTGGAGGAGCGGGTAATCCTGGAGCAACCATTTACCCATGTCGGCTTCCATACTAGAACATTTCTGGTTGCTGGCTGGATTCGCCTGTGGGCCAGTGAGGTCAGTGAACGAGGGGACAGGGTGACACTGCCTCAGATGATACCATTCGGGGGGCCACAGATGGGCCCTAAGTCAACGCCATTCTTCATGTAGTACTTCTCCAGCTTGGCCAAGATGTGCTTGCCGTAGGTGTACTTGCGGAGAGTGGCGATGTGGGGCCGGATCTGGGGAGGAAGCACAGGCTGTGTTACTCTGGCCTGCACATGGACCTGGGCGGGCTCCCGCTGTGCTCCCAGGGGGCTCCCGCTGTGCTCTGGGCACCGAAGTGCTCACTCTAAGAGCCCACGAGGCAACACCTTCCCCTGGTTCAGTCAAAGCGCCGTGATTCTAGAGCTATGGTGGGTGACCCATCCGAGCAGGCGACCGGAGGAGCCCCTATCCTGAGCACTGGCATAGGACACGAGGGTTCTGGGGGCGGCTGGTTGCGGACCACTTCCGGGTCAGTGCACGGAACACGTGCATCCTGACCAACAGCCACAGTGCCGCTGCACAGCACCTTCCGAGGCTGCTTTCAGCCTCTGCCCCCACTCAAGGCGCCTCCTCGGCTCCCCTCAGCTGTGAGAGTTTCTTTCTGGGCACCACGAACCCTGAGCTGAGCTTATCACCTGATCCTGCCTCTAGTTCACAGAGGATCACAGAAAACTTCTAACGACAACAATAAAAATGACTAGTGTTGGCCGGGCATTGTTCATTTCCGCCTCACGAGGCAGCTGTGATTATCCCCGTTCACGGTGCCTGAGTCACACACCCAAGGTCAAATGGCTCCCAAGGCACAGGTGTTTGGTCTCGCAGCAGTGGGAGGGGGACGGGGTCCCTCCCGGCTCTGCACCCACAGCACCACCCACCGCGCTGGGCTCTTGCAGCACCCAGGTCCGGCTCATTGTCCTCTGTTCTCCATCCCAGACACAAGAGGTGCTTCCTTGCCGGGAGCTCCTGGAGCTTTCTACACGGCCTGGCTACGGCACAGAGCACAGTGCGTTCACAATCGCCGGTTTAGCCACTGCTGGTGCCACAGGGACAGTGAATGACCGCGTTTACCGGGCTGCTTCCCCATCCTGAGGCGCACCCGCACACTCACACCGGACGCCCACACCAGGGTGGATGGACACGCTCTACTTCGAGAGCTCCACGTAGGCCACGTGGCGACTCCGTCTGCTCAGCCACGTCCTGGAGTGTCGAGGACACCGGAAACCGCTTCTGCACCACAGGGTGCGGACCCAGCAGCTACGACACCCTCATCTACAAGCCCGCGTGGGGAACCATTAATAGCCCCGGGCCCAATCCTGAGCTGTGTGACCCACACCATTCGCCTCAACTCCTCTGGAGAGAGGACGTGAGACAATGCTACGCTTGCACTTGGGATGTAGCGAGGCCCCAGACACGTCTTGGTCATCAGAACGTGAGGTTCAAGACCCCCTTGCTTTTTGGCGGCTCTCCTTTCAGAAACATTAGTGACATTCAATTCTTTCACCCGCCCTGTCCCTAGGACCGGCGACTGAGCAGTCCAGCCACCGGCGAACCTTTACCCTTCGCCCTTTCCATCGTGCACGCGCACATACACCGTTGTCGAGCTCCGCTGTTCACCTGATCCGGGGGGAGGTGGGAAGTAATGACCTGCTCTACCGTCTCCTCTTGCTCAAGAGGACTCTGTCTCGGAGAAGGCTGCAGAGCTCTTCGTGCTGGGATTCGTGGGACTCTTCTTCATCTTTCGGCTCCCTCAATCAGCCAACTGCCGCACCCCGTCTGTCCCCTGTCTTCAATCCCAAAGCCACCGCCGTCTCTTGGCTCTGCCGCCTCCTCACTGCCCCTTCTCCTACCGCCTCCCCACCTCTACGTCACTCGTCAGCTGGGACAATCACGTGAAACGCAAACGTGACCCGGCAACCACGGGCCTGCCCTACCAAACTCGCTTTGCTTCTTCAAATACCCAGTCTGTCCCCTGCTCTTCCAGGAGAGGTTCAGGGCTTTATCAAATGTCACTCTCTGGGGGAGCATTCTCTGTACCTCCACATTACAACAGACCCTGCCACATGCTCGCACAGCCCTCCCAACACTTCCCAGGCACCACCGCGGCTATCTGTGCACAGTACCGCTGTATTCAGATCCAGGAGCCCCGCCGAAAGGGGGGCTTGCTGTAAGTACACACACGAGTATTTGTCATGGACGTGCTTCTAACTCCCGTGTGTCCCCAACATCCCCTCTGCCTTCACCAGCGTCTCAACACACCTCTCCCTGAGCCTCCCAACTTGAAGGACTCCGGACGCCCCC